AGACTACGCGGCGACTGTGAGAGGCTGGGAGGCTGTGATATTTAACATGATCCTTATGTCAGCTTTAACTTGACATCCTTCAGATGGTAGGAGTCCGGCTTTATTATGTAACAACGTTTAGAAGCCGGTCACGGTAGCTGAGCAGTCTAGTGTACTCTCTTCGCTCGCTCGGAAGCCGGGATCGTGGGTTCGAATTCCACAAAAGACATGGATGTTTGGTGTGAGTATGCGTTTATTCTGTGTTTGTGTTGTCCTGTGTTTAGGTAAAGGCCTTACAACAAGCTGATCACCTGCTCAAGGAGTACTACCGTCTGTAAAACTAATTATGAAACTGAGAAATCAGCCCCATGCTCCAAAGTGACAGCAAGAGGAGAGAAAGAAAACGACATAGAGTGACTAGTAGTAATGGGGAAGCTTAAAATAATTTAAAATCTTTGGTGGGAAAACATAGAGCAAGTTGCCACTTGCTAGACCTTGTAAACAGATGTAAATACATGAGAACGTACCGAAACCAGATTCTGAAATGTTTGTAAACGTGTGAAGATTCAAGCATCTGATGAATACAGAATCAAGGAAGTGAGATAATTTAAAGCAAGAACGCTCTCAGCAGCAGCTTCAACACATTTATCTCGGAAACTGCACACTCTCAAACCTTAAACATAAACTATAAAAGGCCGCACCATAGCTCAAGCGGTTAGTCGCTGATTTCCCACCGCGGCGGCCAGGGTTCGATCCCGTGTATGGTCAAGTGGGATTTGTGGTGGACAAAGTGGCATTAGGGCGGCTTTCTCCAAGTATTAGGTTTCCCCTTCCAAACTTCATTCCACCAAATTCTCTATCATCATAATCACCCGGGACAGGTACAATAGGCCAATCATTGACCGCCGTGCCGAATGGACGCAGCTGGACTCCACACCCCCACTAGCGATTTTTTTAACTATAAAATCTTGAACTGCATAATTTTCAGATTGTAACACATGAGCTTTCGTTTACAGAGATTGTAAAGCAATACAAAGTGTCTAAAAATTCCTCAAGAGGGACGGAGGGTAACTGAATGAAGGTGGTTAACATTACTAATCGTTTGGTCCACGGGACTTCCCCGTATATACTCTCCGCCAGGTCACGGTCTGTCCTGATTGAGATTATTTGTGCCTTGCCTCACCCCCCAACCCCCACCCCAGGCAAATGCTGCGGTAGAACCTCCATTGAGCCAAGACCTCTTCCTTCCAAATCCTTTACACCCGATGCTATATAGTCTCGATATTTAGAGCGCCGTTAAATGTCCAACTACTACAGAGGACCATAACAAAGGACTTTCTTATTTTACGAGTAAACAGGCGACATTGTCCTGTGAATTGAAGATGGAGCGTGTAGCTGAACACAGGAGACAGGAATTCATATAGAATTTTTTTTTGTGTGTGAATATTTAAGGAATTAGGTGTCTTCATTGATCGAAAGATCTGGAGAATAACATTGCATTAGGGAGTATATCTAAGTGGTATTAAGGTGTAAAAAGGGGGTAGACAGAACTAGCTCTGGATCCATAATTACTGGGTTTTGGATTTTCTTCATCGTTCGGTATTCTAGAAGATACACAACACGACGTATCGGAAACTAGACCTGTTTCCGTCCTCAGGTGAAGGGGGCAGAGGACACGTACTCTGTTGGGCCCCTTAGAAAGAGCTAATCTCAATCACTGGACGATGGAGAAAGTCCAAGAATCCAGTAATTCTCTGTTATACACGATCGTCAGATCCCTTCAGTATTTCTCTGGACTGTTTACATTGTGGGGATAAATATTAATGGCTGCGGTTACAGCTGAAATATCACTGTAGCTTAATATAATTAATCTGTTAAACTTAAAGATTGGAATATTATTTCCTGTTTAATATAGTGTACTGAAAACAGATGTTCTTATGGGAGACAACGTGAAAGGCAGAGTGCTGGAGAGCAATGTAATGCAATATACTAATGTCCTCTGTCCATCACACTTTGGGAGCAAACGTTAAGCGAGAAGGTATTAAAGTAAAGATATCCCTGTAACAGGCCGCGTAGGCCCATAAGGTTGTGAGAGGTTGAGGCTCCCTCATCTTTTAGACAATCGGCTCACAGATGGCGGTAAGATTTTTAGCCTTACGTGCCGGCCGGCCGGCCTTTACCCCCCAAGATGATTCCTGGTACTCATTTCTGTTAGAGGCCGAATCGAACCCAGGGCCATAATGCGGCTGGAGAGATTATATAAATTGAAAAAATAAATCCACCTCATTGGGACTCGAACCCGCGACCTTCCGGCTTGTAGCATAGTGCCTCAACCGCGTGCCCCAAAAGTTATGCGAAGCGGTAGGAAATTAGTGTACAGGTGGGGAGATAAACAGCTAAAATTACCTGAAAAATGTGTTTCAACATTTTAAGAATAAAATGGGCTAGTTACATGGGACGAACAGGAACGGCAGGAAATACTCGTATATACAGAATCTCGATCCAGCAGTTCTAAAAGAAGAGAGCATTTAGGAGACTCAAGACTGCGACTGGAGGTCGATTTGGAAACGGATCTCGAAGAAATATGATATGAGATTTTCATGAAATTTGGATAGGGATCAGTGGCCTTAAGTTATGAACACGGTAATGAACATTCAGGTTTTTTAAAAAGCAGGGAATTTCTTGATAAAATTTCCGAAAACGAGTTTCAGAAGTTGTGCCTCTGTGAACCCGCCAGTGTAGAAGATAAAGCGAAGACAAACAAAAATTTTAATTGGCAATTTCAGTGCAAATTGTTTTAAAGCATTTGCATAATATCAAGCATAGACACAGGAGGAACATTCTCTGGCTGAATTGCAAGTGGTTAATATTTAAAATGGGGTACCGGAACTTTGTTGGAATGTGCAAGGAACATTGGTAATAACTTACGAAGTTCCCAGACCTTTTAATTTTAAGCATATAATTGAAAATTCAGTTATACTTTAAGTAAAAACTATAAAAATTAATTAGAGAAGTCACATGTTAGGGTAATATCTAATTTGGCCCGTGGTACAAATCAGAAATGTTCTTCAGCATGATAAATTAAACTATTGTCATTCATTCGCCATTTAACTTTTCTCATCCACGGAAGATCGGCATTACGGTTATAGTGTTTGATAGAAGGAGCCAACTCTTTCAAAACAAAATATACTACGAAAATTACAATTTTCACCCAAAATACTGTGACATGTAGACCAGTTGCTAAGCGATGACTGCGAAACAAACGATTAGACAACGGTCGTTACTAGGCAACAGCCCGTAAACAGCAACAGAGAACTGTACTTTCTGTGCGGTCCGTGCTGAGATCTTATGAGTAGGACAATTAGTGAAGTAGAGACAGTTGAGTTGAGTGAAATGAAGTGTCGATTGGTGAGTGAGTGAGTGAGTTAGTGAGTTAGTCAGGTAATTGCTGGTGTTCAGTTGTTATGAGCCATTGCTATGAGAAACTGGTAGCTGAATTCTGGGATAATTTGGGAACACAGATGAATGGGAACATCCACCATTGGAGGCCGCTACCAAGCAACGAGAGTGAAGATCTGACTGTGGGCACTAGTGTGTATGTGTGTAATAGTGAAATGTAAGTGTAGGCATGTGCTATATCAAGGAGTCTAATAATTCTAGTCATCAATCCAAACCCCATCTATATTCACACTGTATCACGTGAGCTGAGCTAGTTGATTCAATAAAATGCCTGGCTGTGTTCTGAACAACCGACATTTGATTCACGGTAATGTTTATGTTTACAGATTTCAGGTGATGGACGAAATTAAATGTTTATACAATACAATGAACTTTGGGTTCTCCTTTCAGTGAGAGGGATTACACCGCAGTATGCCTAGTTCTGATGTAGAATTATAATGAAAAACTAAATGGCCTGCTTCAGAAAGTTAGGAGGATTCCATGCTCGCAGGATTGGCTTGTTTCTTTATGAACCATTTTAGCACTATCTTCTAATCTAATCCTACGTCGTTAAGTTTATTCTTCTTTCAGTTTTCACAAACACAATTCTGTATACATTAATTGTCCGTCCTTTGCACGTAACATGTCTCGCCAAATTTACCATCCTACTAATATTTGGCTAAGACTATAGATTGTAATTAATGTTATTGTGTTTAAAGTATATAGTAACAAGAGCTACACATACTCATGATTATAATGAGATAGTAAATACAGCCTGCAAACAGATGAATGCCAGTGGGGCATAAACCACATTTTCGAACCTCTTAATCTATTTTCAAAATTGCACATACTTTGAGGCTCTCCAGCCGATTGACATGGTGGCAACATGGAATAGACAACTGTCTCTTCCTTTCAGATCCTTATCTGCAAACCATTGGTAATCTGAAGAAAGCAGTCTTCTGGGATTTGGCACCGTGTATATGTGGTGTTGACCGACGTTGACCGACGTTGACGGAGGAACGTATCGCCTCCATCTTCAGGGTAAATTTCAGACAGTCTGATTTTACCGGTTCTCACGGTCTCTTCGCTTGCAGATTTCTTATATTTTTTCTTCTACCCTGAAGATGGAGGCGATACGTTCCTCCGAAACGTCGGTTAACACCACATATACACGGCTCCAAATCCCAGAAGACTGCTTTCTTCATAGTCACCGCCGTGAAAGCCTCAAATCTTACATTGGTAATATTCTTGCCACGTAATCAGGTGTTGCATAACTTCTGAAGTTGAGGGGCGGAAGTATGCATCAAGAACCGAACACCGTACGGATTAAGTAACAACAGTTTATGAACCACAGATATTAATTGTTCTTAATGGTAACAAGCATTTCCCGAAAAATTTCGCAGAGAATTCTCAAAGCAGTTTGAGTTATAAATAGCTTTCCCTAGAATAGAATTTCAGCTGTATCCTTCCTTAAAATTCATATTACAGAGTAAATTTTAGTGTACATATACCCACGCCTATTTTACAATGATATGTTCCACTCGTGTATATAACTAAGGTGTCTTTTCTTCTTTCTGTTGCAGGATTTCCTAATCCTATGAGTGGTAAGTATTAATTTCATACACAAATGCATATACGATATTGATGGGAAAGCCACAAGGAAAGAGACTACTAGGAAGACCAAGACGTAGGTGGATGAACAATATTAAAATGGATCTAAGAGAGATATGATTGATGGTATTGATTGGATCAATCTGGCTCAGGTTAGAAACAAGTGGAGGGCTCTTGTGGACACAGTAATGAACCTTTTGGTTCCATAAAGTGCTGAGAAGTTCTTGAGTAGCTGCACAATTGGTGGCTTTTCAAGAAAGACTCAGCTCCATGAAGTTAGTTAGTCCTGCTGTACCGCATGTCAAAAAAGTATCGGACTTTATTTTTTTCCGCTGTAAGTAATGGCCAAAGGGGAGGGGTAACTGAGCGTAGTGGTAGAAGGAATTTCATGCGCATGCGTCATTTTTTGCTGACTCGCAGCACTGCCGGATGCGTCTGTGGCTGCCAGATAGCGAAGTTGTGTAACGCGTGTTCGTCGCATTTTCGTTTCGCTCAAGATGACAGAACGCTTGGAGCAGCGATACCGCATCAAGTTTTGCTAGAAACTTGGGGATACCCAAGCGGAAACTATTCGCAAAATTCAGCAGGCTTTCGGCGATGATACAATGGGGGTCACTCAGATTAAAAAGTGGTTCCACCGCTTTAAAGATGGCCGTATGTCGGGAGACAGTGAGCAGCGTTCCGGGAGACCGTCAACGAACCGAAATGCTGATATCATTGAAAAAGTGCGGACACTGATCATGGGGGACCGTCGTTTGACTATCCGGGAAGTTGCTGATGGGGTTGGGATCAGCAGAGGTTCAGCAAACACAATTTTAACTGAGGATTTGGGCATGCGAAGAGTGGCGGCAAAATTTGTGCCCAAGCTGCTTTCGCCGGAGCAGCAACATCTCCGCCTTGAAGTCGCGCAGGACGTGCTGGAGTTCGCCAACAGGGATCCTGAGTTCCTGAAGACTGTGATCACTGGTGACGAGTTGTGGGTGTACGGATATGACCCGGAAACCAAGGTCCAGGCGTCACAATGGAAGCATCCAACATCCCCGAGGCCCAAAAGAGCACGACAGGTTCGAAGCAATGTGAAGGCGATACTGACTACGTTTTTTAGATTATCGGGGTGTGGTGTATCATGAGTACGCACCACTAGGCCAGACTGTCAATAAGGAGTACTACCAAGAAGTCCTCCGCCATCTTCGTGATGCAGTTCGGAGCAAGAGACCGGAGCTGTGGGACGCACGCAACTGGCAGCTGCATCATAACAATGCCCCAGCTCATTCAGCGCACCTGATCCAGGGTTTCCTGGCCAAGCACGGCATTCCGCAGGTTCGCCAGGCTCCCTACTCTCCTGACATGGCTCCTTGTGATTTTTGGCTGTTCCCGAGATTGAAGACACTGCTTAAAGGCTGCCGTTTTGACAGCCACAAGGACACCATACATCACGCGATGGCGCAGCTGCACGCCATTCCAAAAGGAGCCTTCCAGAATTGCTTCCAGCGATGGAAGGACCGCTGAGTGTGTGGAGTCACAAGGGCCCTACTTTGAAGGCGATTAGGTATTGTAACCACCCAGATACAGAACTTTTTTTCCCGGCCCAAGGTCGGATACTTTTGGACATAGTAGTATATAACTACTATTTTTCAGCTGCCTTTGTATGTAGTTTGGAGTGGTAAGGCAATTGGTAAATAGTGAATTCGAAAGGAAGTGGAAGGAGTCGGCATTGACCTGCTGGAAAAAACTCTCTTAGCACTTAGCTTCAGAAAATACTGAACAATATGAAAACCTCGTTTGGAGTAGGTCCCCAGGCCGAATTACGGAATAAGGACCTCCCGGTTACTAACTGATTTCGACAACGACGTTTAAGGAGTAGTTTAATGCGAGAATTATATATATAGGACTCAGCCTCAGTCTTATATTACGACCGACTGTCAGTTGGCCAGGCTATCTTGGAATAAAACACCCATCTGGGGCTTACGACCAGTTTTTATTACTGCCGGACAGTTGCGGGTGTTTTGAAGTGGGGCGCTCTCTCTGACGAGAGGAGGGGTCTGTCATTTAAAATTTCTGTTGGTCCTTGCCAGCGTAGTCCTTCTCAGGACCGAGTCCCTTGGGACTCGCCACCATATTTTACTATCTCAGAATAGAGAATTCGTACTCTCTTGATACAAATCATTTTTATGTCTGTGTTAAATATATTCGTCAATTCAGAGTCAGTCCTCACCTTAATCCAAACTGAGTTTGTTTCCCCGGTACTGGTCTGCCATTGTATTTTATACAATGCCATAAAAGAAAGAAGACACAAAATTGAAACCTCTGTGCTCTTAGTGTCGTTAGTGGCAACACATAATGCACTTCGACATTCTTTCCAATGCAGTACGCACCATGTCACGCTAATTGTGCACACTCAATTAGTAGTACATAAAATGAATCCAGGAACCCACATTTAGAGAAAGGTTGTCGCAAACTACAAAGCAGTTTAGTTACATGTCAGTGAATGACGTCAACGAGCATGAGAACTTGACATCACTAGTGTACACATTCCACTTCCCCTTTTAACGGAGGAAGACTCTGTGTAGTAACCTAAAAATGAAGTGGGTACGTGTTGAATGCTATTATTAAGCTTGCTGCATTTTGCAAATAGACAACTTCTGCTTGACATGTTCGATAAGATACAGACTAACAACACTTGAAATTCTTGGTTATTCGTTTTTCTCAGGAGGGATGAATAACACATAAAATATGAAAGAATCTATGTTAAGGCGATGTAAAGAAAATAATTATAATTCGTTAAAATAAATGTATAGGTCTTTGTGCGGAGCTAGTCATAACTACAGACATATACGTGTATATGATTACAATACATTTTAAGTAATAGATACAGCTGTTTTATATACTGGTATATATATATATACATATACATACATACATATATATCTTCTTCTTTTTCATGAGGCTCGACAGCGTAATTTTTTGAACGCTTTAACCTGCTTAACAATACACGTCCATATACACGGTTTTAATATCAGACTAAGAATTCCTATGTTTATAATACCTGAAAATAAGGATATAATATAAATATTATACAATCCAATACGAAGAAATTTAATAAATAAAACTTATTAAAGAAAATTGAAATAAAATTTCAGGATGTGAGAAGATTATGAGATTATTTTGAATTTGCCTATAACTATGGGCTATCGAAAGCAATGTCCAGTACCAAAGCATTGCTGTATGGCTTATATCCACTGTATTTACAATATCCTGTATGTATCTATGGAACAGACAAATATTTTTTAAATGAAACACAATTTCTAAATTACCAAAATTGTGCATTTTCACTCTCTTCTTGTTACATAGTACACAGTTTTGCTTCCCGTTTATCGCGATACATTGATATTTCAAAAAGTCAAAACACAAGACAGCTGTCCGGAATATTATTGTTGTAAAGTTTTTGTCATATGTATTCGGTTTTTCTTCTTTCAAGCCCTCGCTGTACATGCGTAAGCATGGAACTAGTTTTTACTAAATGCGTCCTAAAATAATACTGACACAATAAAACACCACCATAGGTGAGCTCTTTCCTCGGCCAACTCTAGAAATATATTGTCTCTGCAACTTATAAACTACTGACGTAGATTAACGCATAGATCGTGAAGCGAATTTTCATTATATCATTTCCCTCCAAGTTCGAATATGAAGACTTTAAAGTTAAAAGAGGTAGTCCATAGGCTCGTATAAAATGCATATTAAATATTTTGTTTTGATTTTAGTCATGAAAATTCAACGAATATAATTAATTTTTATTTAAACCAAATCCCCCGGAATAGACAATATAAAATTTCTCCTCGTCTGGCTTAAATGGGGTAAATTTGTTTTGTTTGCCTAGTTCATAAAATACATGTTTCCCTCTATAAATCATTTTTCATCATGACGTCGGCAATGAAGGCTACGCTCAATAATCAAAGGACTGATTAAATAAATATCGGATCATGATATGTATATGATGTGCACGTATTGTGGGCAAAATTTATTATATTCCTGTCAATACACTTTCCAGCATATAGAATTTCTTAGACAGCAAATTCTACCAGGTGAAAACAGTGTTCCGTGGCAGGAATATACAGTATAACACAATACAATGCAATAAAAATCAGCTTTAGCTTTTTACACAACAGGATACAACAAAATAAGCGCACTTATCATCTTTTATAATCTCTGAATATACTTAAACGGAACATAAAATATAAAACTTTAAACACTTGGCCATGGTCTTTTGCTTTGTAACGCCATGTAGTTCGGAAAGCATGAAGTTCCTGGGGAACATTTCGCCTCTATTATCAGTCCGGAATAACAAACCGATGGAGCAAGTTACGTGCAGAGCTCTGCTTGCAGCCTGTTTTTATATTGGTTCCTTGCAAGGTTTACTCTCCGGGTCTGGTACCCGTGCAACAAGTTTGTGCAATTGCATAACGTTGCCATTCTTGTACCTCGGACATTGTATGGGGTACTTAACGCACTGCAATTTTGCGGTATCCAAGAATATCGTGCAGAATATGGAACACGGTTTTGTGACATACGCCTACCTCAGCAGCTAACTCCCACGCAGCCCATCGACGATCGACATTCAGCAAAGAAGCAAGAAGCTGAATTGTGTGTTTGCGAACATGGGGTCGTCCTGAATGGCATCCCTCCCTTCACGGAACAATTTCACCCATCGTGTCACTGTGCGATATGGCAAAGCAGCATCACAACATGCTTCTCGCAGTCCCTGATAACAGTTTTGTGCATTACGGCCTCTTGCAACTTCAATTTTTATCCAGGAGCGTTGTTCTTGTTTCGTAAACATGTTCTTAGAGCGCTAGAACTGGGTTCCTGCACTTCAAGACGATGCACAATGCAACTCAATTAAAAACAACCAGAGCCACTCACTGCACTACTTCAACTGAACTTCTGCTATCAGTTACAGACTGCACTAGTGCCACCTGACGCACATCTTTCATGTTACAGCAGTGCTGCCATTACTTTTTATCTAAGCCTTGTATATTTCATTTTATGGGTTCATAGTGACTTGACGCCATCAGAAAGTGTCATCTGATTCTTCCCTTTCGAAGATCACATGAAATTTGAGAGGACCATGTAAACATTCCACTATTCAACAAGGTCAAATATCAAATACATCCTCTGATGTCAGTATGTTTCCTAATATCTCTTTGTGGATTACCGGACACGGGAGAAATCCGTGAAACAAAGTTGCCTCAGACGCTATAGCAAACAATAGAGTTGTGACAGAAGGAACAAGGACACATCTTATACTCCTATAGAATCATGTTCTCATTCTGTAGGTCTATGAATGTATAGGCGCCATTAATTAACAGAAGCAGAACGTCAGAAATAGTGATATCTCTTCGGGCATACGTATGTCCTTGCCAAATGACTCAAGGATATCTTTAAGCAGAGAAGTCCAGTCAGAATGTGATTCTGCAGAAGGATGTACTGATATAATGCTCTTTATTTCATTGCCTATTGATGATGTTATAGATTAGAACTTAAATTGTAGGGCAACATTTTTAACTGTGTCTGTTACTGTATTCTTCCTGTTCTGTGAATTGCTGTTCCATCTAAAGCATCGTCTTTTCTGTTTAATTAATATGCAGCAACTATTTGAAAATGTTCTTTTTATTGTTATTTCCTTATATGTTCTTCATTTAATCCCAAGAGTGCAATGCTTATATATGAAGTGAGTTCCACGTAAAGCCCCCACCTTGAAAGGCTTAATAAATTCTCCACCCCATAATGACAAAAGAGTAATCATGAAGAACCATAACATTAAGCTACTAGTGCATTTGAATAAAGGTAGATTCTTAGAAAGCATTTAAACTATAATTACAATGCTATTTTTTTTTGTCGAAAGTGGATTACAGAACTAGCAACTAGGAGAAATACCAACAGATATTTCTACTTAGGTTTGTCGGTGGTTCTTACCGAGACGTAGTGACGAGTCAAGCGGAAACCCTCTGCCGTACTGCATTGGCATTCTATACCAGAAGCAGGTGAAACGCATTGCATCCCTTTGAAGCCGAGAATGCACAACTGCGCTTGTCAAGGCATTATTTAAGCTCGTAAAATCGCAGCACAAAGGCACTTAAACTCCTTAGTGGATACACGTGCTGGTACCTACTGTAGAGATATCGATAGCTTCCATTTCTGCCACAAGAATGAGCCAGAAGCTGAATAAAAATATACAAATGAAATAATAAGTAATGCACATAAATTATTTGATACGAAATTCCTAACTTCAAGAAATTATTGGTACTTAAAAAGAATTTATTTCTGATTACTTCAGTTTGAAAGGCATAAAGTCAAAGTACCAGTGATTAATACACCGTCGAGATATTTACATAACGAGTAAAAAAGTAAAGTAAAACTATCCCTGTAACAGGCCGTGAAGGCCCGTAGGGCTGTTAGACATTGAGCTTCCCACATTATCTACATAATCGGCTCAAAGATGGCGGTAAGGTTCTCAGCCTTACGCGCCGGCAGCTCTTTAGCACCCACAGAGATTTCTGGTACTCTTTCTGTTAGAGGCTGTCTACCCCAGGGCCATAGTGCAGTTGGATGGATTGGGTCAATTGAAACACCCATCTCATCGGGACTCGAACCCGCAACCTTCCGGCTTGTAGTATAGTCCCTCAACCAACTACGCCACCGCGTGCCCTCATTGACATAACAAGAAGGTTCATAATTAGTGTTAGTCACGAAATTGTGTTAAAGAGACCAGGCGGAGGGGGTTGAGATGGGCAGAACATGCAGTGAGCTTAAGGTATACGAGAAATACGGCCATGAGTTTGTCGGAAAAATTATTTGGAAGACACTTGGCAGAGATAGAAGCACATGTATCATCACGCAATGGATCTTAAACAAAAAGTAGTTGTGAGAATGTGGATTGAATTCGTGTGATTCGGCAAAGGGTCAATTCGCGAGCTCTTACGAAGAGGTAAATAAGCCTACTGGTCCCATACGAAGGGACTAATCGGTTCCCCGACTCAGCGACAGTCAGTTTTCCTGGAATGTGTTTTTTCCATGACGTCACTCAAGAGAAAATTACGAATCTGTGAACTGTTGATAGGTGTACATGCAGGGAATGGGGCTCTTTAAGCTGTTACCGAACTCTGCTGGGCTAATGGCCAATCAATAAAATAATAATTTTCTTGCAGGTAGTGCTACAAGCGGTATACACTACAGGCGACTACTTGTACTGTTGTGCTTATTGGCGCTAGTGTCTGCGACAGTCTCGGTCTGATTACTACAGGTAAGAGCTAATTTGCAGTTGTTCCATTGTTGTAACAGTAAGCAGTATTTTAATAAAATTTGTAAGGTTTAAGGTCACGAAAATGTAATTTAACAGCTAATCGCCTGAAATTTATTAAGCATTACTTTTGCATAGATACCTGTTCTTTCGTGTAATGTGTATAGAGTTTCATGCTTTTAATCAGCTAATCGGCCGTTTATTGAAGCCATTCCGCTGAAACTCTATTATATCAATGATGATTTTGTGTAGTAGAAGCGCTTCGTGTTTAGGCTTAAACGCCAATTTTACACTCGCGAGGTACATGGCCATGAGAATATGGTGTGAAAAACGTAATTGTATGTAGCAGTACAACGGTTTTATTACATACGAGGGTTGGAACTTTAATAGTGGCAACTATTTATTTACAAATGATACAAAATACATACATGTTTCGAAGTTTTACTCTCATTCAATGTAGTCACCAGCATTGTGTACAACCCGTTGCCAGCGATGTGGAAGTCGTAGGATACCTTTAGCAGCGCCTGTTGTGTTATAGTTCGAATGGAGCGGTCTACTGCCTGAAGAATCTCTGGAGCAGTTCTGAAGCGAATGCCACGAAGTGGTTCCTTCATCTTAGAAATCAAGTTGAAGTCACAAGGGCTTAAGTCCGGGGAGTATGGTGGATGGTACAGCACTTCCCAGCCCCATTGATCGAACAAATCAGCCACAGCTTGCGCTGCATGCGGCCGAGCTTTGGCCTGCAAAATGATGGGTGGGTTCTGCAGAAAGTGTCGCGGCTTCTTTCTCAAAAGCTGGTCGCAGGTTGTGTTCCAGAAATGAACAGTAATACTGGGCATTGACGCTCAGCTGTCGGGGAACGGTATGCGTTAGGATAACACCATTAGAGTCGTACACGAGAATCACCATAACTTTCACATTGCTGGGGTTCTGACGAACTTCTGATTTTCGTGGTGACCCTTAATGACGCCATTCGTTCGATTGGCGTTTCATTTGTGGCTCGTACGAGAACGATTTGGCCCATGTCTTATCCAGCGTAATGATACGGCGTTAGAAAGCCTCTCCTTCGCGCTCATAGCGCTCCAAGTGGTTACGAGCAGCGTCGTATCGTAGCCATTTCTGAATTTCCGTCAAATCATGCGGAACCCATCGTGATGCAATTTTTCTTATGCCCAGGCGTTCCTTCAGAATGTGACGCACAGTCGTATGCGCTAATCCTGTCTCTCGAGCCAGCTCACGGATCGTATGGCGTCGATCACTCTCAAGTAGCGCGGAAAGAGCATACACTTCTTCTTCACTAACACTAGGACGAACTGGCCGACGCATGTCTGCCACATTTTGGCGTCCCTAATTGAAGGCTTTTACCCACCTTGCCACTGTTCTGTAAAGCAATGCAGATTCCCCGGAAGCCTCTTGAAGACCTTGATGACAGTGTCGTGCTGTACGGTATCTGGCACATTTTTATCCATCTCCGTTGTTCCTATTTCGAAAACATAATGACAACACTATATTAGACCTCCAGCTAACATGAGGCTCTGTTCTTCATGTCACTGCGCATGCGCGTGATGTAAGAAGGGAGAGTCAATTGCTCTGAAGTAAAATAGGTATGTAACTAACCTGTGGTATAAGCGACATTATTTGGTTCAGTTGCATTGCGTCTCTACAGCAGTGTTGCCACTATTAAAGTTCCAACCCTCGTATAAATTGAATAATCTTCCTGTTGAAAAAGTACAAAATAATCTCTTTTTACGTAAGTGATAGGAGACTTTCACTACTTTGAAACTGATATCTCAGTGACAGGAGTTGTTCCCTGTTAACTAAGTGCACGGGATCTCAAACTGAACTGCAGTATGGATGGTGGTGAGGTGGCCACAGTTCTATTGCGCACGTATGGATAAGAAGAATATTAATGTTCAATACAAAGCGACATATTTAATATTATGTATTGAACGCATGGTCCTTTAAATAAATTATTAATTCCCTTAAACTATTGAATTTCTTTATTTAGCACTAACCCCGATACGATGGTCTCCTTATAAATGTTCTTCCGTTTGCAGTGCTTCAGCTTCTGGGAAGTCATGCGCCATCTACGCGACCCCACACTCACACTACAGAGTGCAGAGTGCAGAGGACTCAATGCAACAGTGTTTCATCCGAATTATTGCGTAAAATAACAAATTAGTTCGAGTAGAAAATATTGGCAGAGACATTTTAAGTGTCAGTTTTGTCTGTCCCATTTTATTTTTGGCCTAATAACTTTGCGGATTTGTAATATTTATAATATAAAATTCTACCTGAACTTTGTTACCCACTTCGAATTGCAGCGTTATTCTCAGCTGGAAGTTTTTCCTGAAGAAATCTGCTACATGTCTTTCGTTGTGTGTTAATATGAGGAGAGCAGGCTAGCACAAATGAACAGGCGTCGTGTCCGTGATTAAGGCACGACTGTAAATGTCTCCAGTCACTATATAAAGTAACATTTTTCGCTTAAACTTTGCTTTGTTCCGGATCGTCTGAATTTTGTTGTGAAAATAAGTATGGTCAATTAAAAACGATTTACAGCATAACAGAATTTATGACTTGAATATTTCGGAACATGCTAAATAATGAATGAAACTTAGAATTTCTACAAAGTAATCTAACTGGTACCTCCATAAATATAAAATAAAAAAGTAAACAAAAAAACTCATAACTTTCCTGTCAGCAAAATTTAACGCTTCAATACAAGCAGAACTTGACAGCAAAATTATTTTCAGCATCTCTAGGCAATTATCTAGCGCGTGTCCCAATACTTGAAGTTTCCTGTTTTGCAATTCCTTTGGTAATTCTATGAATTAATATTTTTATTCAATCTTTTGATGATTATCCCAAGAAAGTAACCCTAATGAAAATGATATGCTTAATTTTTAGACTGTATTGGAAAGGCTCTTAAAAATTCAGTCTTGATTTTGTATGCTCTTTTAGCTGGATGCGACATGGACAAGAATAATCCTTATACGAGAACGTTCAGATGATTGGCTGAACGAGAAGGGAAGGGATTCTTATATTTTTTGACAAATCTTAAGTCGCAATGTTCGAAACGGCGGTGATCAAATAGCAGTAGAAATAGGCTGCCTTATAAGTGACCCTTGAATTCGAAATGGAAGCTAAAAGGCTTTAGATCAACATTATGCTGTCTCTTCTCCTATCACTGATGAATGATGAACACTACGGAAGCCCTAGGGATGGTGTAGTTACACTACTCCCAGGGTCGTGAGGGAGAAAAATATGATCTAGTGTCCTTTTTGGGCCCGAAACCAAGGATGACTCTGCTGGCGAGGCTCAGTAGTAATTTGTCCGAAACGGAGCGAAACCGAACCTAGGACTGCACTTAATCTGCTTCATGAAACAAATGGTGTTCAAGGACGCAGAGCGGGTTGCATAAAGTATCGGAACCTTAGCACTTTTATTGTGTAAGTCACTGACTCTACTAGGACATGTTACAGCGCATAGTGTATATTGCTGGGCCATCAGTGCGTGTCACTGACTCTACTAGGACATATTACAGCGCATAGTATATATTGGTGGGCCATCAGTGCGTGTCACTGACTCTACCAAGACACATTAAAGAGCGTAGTATGAATTATTGGACCAACAAGTAACTGTTGTGTGTCACTGACTCTACCAAGACACATTACATTGCGTAGCATAAATTATTGGACAATCAAGCACCTATGTTGTCTGTCACTGATTCTACCAGGAGACATTGAAGCGCATAGCATAAATTATTGGATAATCAGACACATGTGTCGTATGTCACTGGTTCTATGAAAAAGACGTAGGCTGAGGTGCAAGTGTCGGACTTCCGTCGCATCAATTCGGATTAACCAATAAAAAATAAGTCGCTTCACGGCTGTCTAGACAATTCGCTGTGTTAATAAAATCCTTAACTAATGTCTGGAAACTAGTACAACAATTTGATTAAGATAGTAGTAGTAAATATTTCTAAGAGAATAATCCAGTAATAAAATAAATGAAGGTCCAAATGTCTAAGAGAGGGCAGCGGTTTGCTGTGGTTACTTGAGTCTCCCAAAAGAATGCTGGTTACCCCTATTCACGGATTTTTATGGTGACTAACCAGTGGCAATATTTGTCTCGAGCACTTTCAGTAACTTTTGAGTAACAGCTTAATCTCTTCATATTATCTTTGACTAAATAATGACTGTTTTAAAATAGATTAGGGAAATTTTATTAAAGTCAGAGAGGAGAACCACGCGTTATTCTGTGTTAGGAAGTGTCTTTAAGTGGGTAACAGGCTGCATACTTCTACGGCTGCTTTTCCTTACCAAGAATGGAAACGTTTGATGCATTGCCACCGAAATGTACATGATTGAATTTGAATTTATTTTGAATTCGCGACATCACTGGTTCCAGTTATGAAATTAAGGCACACGTTTTATTTTTGTTGCTACTTATCGTTCAGCATCAAGAAGGAGAGAAAACTGCAGCTTCTACATGTACAAATTTCTGATCACAAATAATGTCCTTTTAGTAGAATTCACTTATCGAATATTAATACATTTATTCTATTGTGGCACTTTTTAGGCATTCTGCTCTGTGTTTAAAAATTGAATACTTTGTACAATTAATTCAGTTTTATCGTCCCATAATGTGATTATGTATCATTAAGTTATTTATTGAGACTATTAAGCTACAACCTGAGGTAGCAAGCGGACTGACGGAACTGTATAGTTTACAATTTGTCATATTCCTCATGTACACAAAGTCAGTTTATATCCTCAAGAATTATAACTTTTACACTAGTATTTAATATTTATTTATATATTAAGGTGCAATACACTTGATATTGTTTGCATGGAAACAAAAAGGACATACTATGAGGCAAAAATTGTACAATTTTATATATTCTACCTTCTCAACATATTGCCTGAACTGAATAAATGTGTGTTCCTTGCTTGCAGATATTGCTCTCTTACTTGTCAAAGCAGACTTTGCTGAGGCTATGTTACGATATTATTTCACTGTTGTATTATGATTTTTTTTTTATTGTAGTTAAGTCGAGGGTCTGCTTTTCTCTTAATAACTATTGATATTTGTTTCGTGTCGGTTTCGTTTATCCTCAGTTTATTCCCTTCCACTACACTCGTGGTATATATGTACCAGGATGTGACCAATAGGAAATATAAACATAGTATATTAAAAATGAGATTAATATTAAAAACTCTTTTGGTAAATTGAAATGTTGTATTTTTTAAAATAATAATAAATCCCTTTATCAAGATATGACTCTTTATTATTTTACAATATATATATATATACAGGTATTTTCCTTTTCGCTAGTTCTGCAGTCCACACAAAATCCTATCCAGTGACAACTTACAGCCGCATCTCCATGGATTAAGGAGCTGGGTCATGAAGCTTCATCCAGTACTGATACAGTACGGAACCTAGCACAATCCTGACATAGTACTTATACCTAGGGACAATATTATCTTTAAAGAGAAATATTCCGGATTTGAAACAAGGTAGGTAATGTAAAAGGTAAGTATTAATGAATCAGAATATTTATAAACTAAAGGTTTTTGTAAGGTAAGTTTAGGCCTTTATACTTTATAATGAAAGTGTCATTAAGTATTTTGAATATCATCCATCGCTTCGTTTTTATTTAGAAACCAAAAAGAGAAACCCCCAAGAGGAGGGCTTGCTTCTTACCCTTCGAATATGCAGCCAGTATATTTCCCTGGGCCGACGATGATCGACGACCAGACTACCAGACTACAAAACGTCACCTCCCGAAAGATAAAACAGCTGTCTGTACTTCACCTCTTCGACTACAGGGGCTATGTAAAGCAGAATATTCTGGAAAGGGTATCATTAAGAGTTTGTAAAGAAATGATTGCAACGTTTGTGCAGGCTCTTCGTTCTGCTGGGGGGGGGGACGGGAAACCGGCGAAGTATATTGTATTGTCGTGAACCATCAGATAATTCAATCGGACACTTACGGAAAAATGAATTATCCCTAGATCAGCTCTCTCACCTCTCGGTGTTATTGGTATCATTCACGTGTACATGGCCTGAATTGTGTCCCTTATCTGTATCCATTGACTAGAAAGTGATATCGTTGTGTAGGACGAAGCTGTGATCTCCCGCTGCCCTTGGGTAGAATTCGACTTTGGCATGACAGAAATTTCATTTGGAACAAATTCCAAGTGCCAATTAAAACAATTTCTATAGATTACTTTGAAAATCTATGCAATAAAGGGCCATATTTGTGGACGTCCTTCCCAAGGCTGCTGATAACTCGTAAAATGGTTGCATAGTGATAGAAGCAAAGTTAACTGGGATTTGAAATGACAAAGAAGATTATTTCTTGCAACATTAAAAGTACAATCTCCATGCAATTAAGTAATACATTTCATTTACAAAATAATTCTGCAGCTGCTGCTGTCCTTAAAGTTTTCTACTTATTTCACAAAACATAATTTAAAAACGCTGTCAGTGTCGAACTGTATTGCGTCCATGACAGAATAATTAACAGATATTAAGCAGTTATTGGAATAAGAATTGGCAGAAGAAACCGAAGTAATCTAAGAAAAATTGATCCAGTGGTACACTGTCCACCACAAATCCTACATGGACTGACCTGGAATCGTGTTTATTATTGAAAGATCTCGTGTTATTAAGGTGTACCATCTTATTTAAACTATGTTTATACTTTACGTTAATTAGTTTTATATATTAGGGAATGTGACATATTTTTTTTAAATGTAATATATTGTATGGGAAGAGATTTTCTGATCAAAAGTAATTTGCTTTAAAATGGTACCGGCAAATTTCCACGAAGAGCGACAATATGCTGCAAATACAGATACTTTTGACGGTAACGTATCATACAACTAATACCCCCGTGGGCACTAGGAGTGCAGGCGGAGAGAGGACGTGGACATTATTGCCAGACATACCATCTGCCATTAGAAGTAAAGTAGAGCTGATGAATGAGGATGGGTTCCTTGATATCCCAAAGAAGGTTGGTATCCTCTTCACAGCACGTATGAAGTTACCTGTTAAAGCAGAACTATTTGCCAATATGAACCGGTTTGTTTGAGCAATTAGTTTGTTGAGGAAATTTTGGACTAGACAGAGAATATTAGCGGGCTGCTTCACCTTGCCGCAGACGTAATACCGAGCCGTTCCTCATCACACACCTCACTCCACACCAAAACAACGTCCGGATTAATTGAAATTCCTGTGGGGGCCTCAGTGTACCAGCGTTCATCTCGACCGGACTCCAATTAGGACTACATGAGGGATCTTGGTCGTGAGATGTTATAAATTTAATGGAATACAAAAACACCCGCAAGTGTCCACGTTACTCTGATGTTTTGCAAACACCTGGACATTAGTTGTTATCAAGTGGTAAGAGGGTACATAATTAATGGTGATAAAACGCTGTGACAAAGAAACAGTAAATGGAAATTAAGTAACTGTACTTATATGGCTTTGCCATGAGTAACAAGGACATTGCACTTTCAGTCTCTACATGGAGACGCATCTCGCACTCTGCATAAGGACGCTGATAAGCCTGCTACGTATACTGTACATATAAGCAACTCTGCAGTTCCTTAACGATAATGTATTTTTACGAATATGACCATTGCTAGGCAAAGGTTCAATAAGAACCACCT